GTGGGTGAGGATTTGAGGTCCCACTTAAAGGTTTTGTCACAGACTTAACAGCACAAGAGGATGAATATGTTGCTTGTGGCAAAATGATTTTTAGCAGAAGAGACCAGAGTTTTAAAATGGAATTTTGGAGGTTCATGATAAATTCAGAACAAAAGTCACAACGTCCTCACCTAGTGGATTTTGGTTCGGTAACTGACATTTTCTTCACACAGAATGCACTATTTACATATGTATGTATGTATGTATGTATGCACGTAAAATGCTCCCATTTAGGGCATTCTTTGAAGTGAACTCCTAGAAGGGCTTACCATTCATTTAGGTTGTCCAAAAGGTGGTGAGATATAGTAAAAAATAGCCTATTTGCTGCTGTTGGAAAATACTAATGCAAAACCACAGAACACTTTAACAAATTATGTTGCTCCTCCATAATGGTGCTTACTTCATCATCCCTTCACCTTTATTCTGCATTAGTGTCTAGTAATTCTGGGTTTTGCCTGGAGCCAGGTCATCAGCTGGTGTAAATTAGCCTAGCATTAATGAGGTATATGAAGTTTTGTCAGATGTCTGCAAGTGAAGGGTCACTTTTTGTCTAAGCTACTGCCTGCATGTATCTGCCCATTTATTGTTTAGTTCCAGAACACTCTTACCAAAGCATTCACCTGTGCAGTTGTTTTTTTCCTGCTTAGGACACTTCTGCTCTACATCAAATACTTTCATTTTCTAGCTCACAAATGCAGACCTCCACAGAACAGCACATGAGATTTAAACACGACTCTCAGTTCTGGTCACATCCCAGTATGATCTGACCACTGTGCCTGATCCTAAACCTTCAGTATCACAGTTCAGCCAGTATTAAACCTTCAAAATAAATGAGCTTTCTCATGCTGTGGATAAATGTGGTTTGAAAAGACTGTCCAAAGGATTTTTTTATTATTTTTTTTAAAGCAGGCTATCCTCTAAGCCAGTACTCCATCACCTATTATAAATGCTGTAAGTACAACGGCAGTGCTTCCCAGAGGAAACTTCTTTCAAGGGCAACAATGACTTTTCAAGAGGCTCTTGTTAAGCTATTCAGAAAACTTTGAAATTGTTACTGCTTGTTCATCCCAGTGATACTCTCAACAGTTTTGAAGTCCACTGTCTTATATCTCCTACTGTAAGACCTTCTTTTGTGAACCTATAAGCAAGGTCAGCTACCACATCAGACAAGGAGACTTTATTTAGTCCAAGTCTTAAACTTCCAAGAATGGAGGAGTTTTATTTGTACTGTCTACTAAGATACTGACTTAGAGTGTATTTACTGTTGTCTCTTTCTTTTACCAAGCAATTTTACTTAGCAAGTAACTTTCAAAAGTAGTGTTTTTCAATTAGTTTAGATCACCTCACCCAGCTCAGTTAAACCTTTTTTTAGGCAGCTTTTCTATTCTCTTCATATGAATAACACCATTATTCTATTGTTCTTTTATTTCATAAGCAGATGATTGTAAAAACTGGTAGTAAGTGTTAAGATCATGTATGAAAAAGGGTTTTGTAACAGATGTAGGTGCTTTTTATTGCTATTAAGAACCAATGCATTAAAGAACACTTACAGATGGAAGTAAGGCTGCATGCTCATGCTATAGTTTATGTTGAACTTTGAACAAATGTATGTACCATGATAATTGTAATAGAGTGATTAAAAAGCCTTTCACAGTAAGTATGAGGCTAATTGTATGACCAGAATCCAGTTTTGCTGATCACCAATTACTATTGGTAACTTTGGGCTGCTTTTCCACTTTCTGAAAGTGCCCTCAAGAAATCTTAGTGCCTCTTTAATATATAGTGAGCTTGATATACTCCAGTTATCAGATCTGTGTTTCAAGTCTTGTACTTATAAAGCCTGTTTGCTCACACTCCTGAATGACCTTGGTCATTGCAGTTAAAATGGTTGTATAAGCACTCCTAGCCTACATCTTTGCACAGGAGTCTGACGAAAAACAATACCCACCTGTATACGGTAGAAAGTTAAAATTCTTTACAGGTGTTCACTTTTATTTTAATGTCATTTATCTGAGATTCAAAACCCTTTTAAAATGGTGGTTTCTGTATAGGTTCCTACAATACAAATGCTTTAGAGCAGTCTGTGTGCTCTCACACTGGAGACATATGTGGACATAGGATATTTCACTTCAGCATATGCTCACCAGTGATCAAAGGAGAATGAGTAATTTTGGCCCACAAGTCCTCCTATTTCTGAAGTCAGTCTGGATTGAATAAGCCCCATTTCAATGCCTAAATGTCTTTGACTTCTGAAAATCTATCTCTGTGCCTTCCTAAACATTACATATTAAAGTGATTAGTTTTACCAAATTAATAAAATCTAAAATTTTAACAGGCTGGTTGCAAACAGGATTTAGTCCAGTGTAGGCCTGTTTGTGTTAGCTGAGAGGACTCTTCAGCATGCATTTCCACTGTGTTATCTGAGGCTACTCATATATCATAAACTCCCCAGCTGTATAAATATTTTTGAGATTGATAGTAGGAATGTTCTTCGAATAGAGTGGGCAAGAAAAGATATACTAATTGTTGAGAGAATAAAAACATGTATTGGTCAAACTAAAGAGGAAATAATAGAATTACTTTCAAAACTCATTTAAATAAGTGGAGGGGGAAAACAACTGCTGTTGACTTAAACTAGGACCAAGTTTAAAAATCTGTACCACAAATTCAGCTTTCATAGCTTTCAACTACGTTGATACTTCATTAAAAAAGAAATACCTGAAAGAAATTACTTCCTTAAGAAATACCTGATTCTAAGAGCCTTTATTTATGAAATAGTCTTCTAAGAAAAGTATCTTTTAAAAATTAGAAATATGCAGTTTAGTATGGACTATATAAGATATTAGTAACATATTTCCTTCCTCCTCTTCCTGTTCAGGCACAAATAATTGACTGCAGTTGGGAAGTGTTAAAACTACCTTTTTATGAAAATGGATTCTTTGACAGATCAGTCCATTAAAAATACCGCCCCCTCCCCAGTGAAATACACATTTTAGTAGGTAACTTCATCTTGAAGAATAAAGCTTTTCAACTGTGTTTACAGTCTTTGCTTTATACAAGACCCTAAAGAAGTGCTTCCTAGCTTTCTTGCTAAATATTACACTTTGGTCTTCAACCCGAGCCCCTTCACAATAATGCATTTCCATTTCCAGAAAGCAGACCACCTTCCTTTTCCTGCCCTTCTCCTATGTCTTCATTGTTGGGACACTTCATATGCAGTGTCTTCACTAGTAACTGGCCCTAAAGGTTATTTTGAGGAAAGCTGAACCATCTCTATCTTCCCTCCACCCCTACCACAAATCTCTGCTAAAATACATAGGAAGGAATGAGAGAGAATTTGATTTTTCTCTTTTCTTAAAAAAAAGTGTTTGTTTAATATTTAAACCCTTTTCAGGTTTCTACTCTGCATCTAGTTATTTTTGTAAAAGGTGTATTCTAAACTCAGCATGTTCTCTAATGTTTTCTGTTTTTTTGGTTTTGTTTTGGTTTTGTTTTTTACAAAATGCATCTTTGTAATCTTTCATGTGGGAAAAATACCATATCTCATGGAAACACTTCTGTATCAAACCATGACATACTAAGTTTACAGCTCTCTAATGAATTTGATGCTGGGTTTATCTCAGAGAAACCTGAAGTCAAATGGAAGGGTACATTTGTAGATGCATGAGGTAGGTTTTTTTATTATGAGTTTGCTGATGTTGTTCTTTTTTGTTTGTTTTTGAACAAGAGGCTGTTTCCATGCTATACAACTGCAACCTGAAGAGCATACCAAGAAGTGGCTTACAGCTGTCTATGGAAAAATAACTATTTCTGACAGGCATATAATGTAGCTGAGTAAGAACATGGACTACATAGCTTTGCAGGTAATTTAAAAATAACAGATATAGTTCAGCTTCTCAGCTTAATTTCTCTTGAATGGGTATAGGAGATGTTGACTATTTAATGGATTTTTTAATATCAGTTACAGGCAACTAAACCAGAAAAAATCCACCGGAATCACGAGAACCTTTATTTCTGATGTTGTGAGCTGTTTTGTGACTCCTCATTGCCATGATTCTAAAAACAATTTGCCAGGGCTGCGGGTTTTCCCATGTGCAAACACAGTATGGGGGCACTTTTGGCAGTCAGGGTTTCTTGCAGAGACCCCATGTCCCCAACGCTTCCGTGACTGATACATTTGCACTTCAGACACATCTTTGCTGGACGTGCGTCCGCCTTGTCTTTCTGTGCCTAAGTTTTCTAAGACGAGTCAACTTTTGTCCTCTAATGCTACAACAAAAGCAGAAAAAGGTTGGGGTTTTTTGGGTGTTTCTTTTTTGTTTTTTTTGGTTTTTTTTTGGTTTTTTTGTTTGTTTTTTTTTTAAGCCAAACGACGGCTTCTTATTCCGGTACAAGCTTCCAGAAATTCCTGCTCTTCCCCTCCTCCACATTTGATTCTGCGAGACTTGGAGCGTACTGGGCTAGGGGCAGTTCCGTATTCCGTGATGTTCAGCCGACATTTGTAACTCGCCGGTCGGGGTAACTCACTGATCGTTTCTAATCTCGCTGATTGCGTTCCTTTGTGTCCCTAGTGCGAAATACAATTAACCCGCCGGGGGCTGTTCCCCGGGGACTTCCGTCAGCTGCCGCCTCCGTCGGGCCCGGCCATGACGCCAGGCCTGACGCTGGCGGTGCCCGGGCCCGAGCGGCTGGGCCCTGCAGGGGGCCGGGGCTGCTCGCTGCCGCCCCGCTTCCTCCCGGACAAGGCGGCCCCTCCCGCCCGCCCGCTCTCCATCCCAGCGCGGGAGAGGCACCGCTCCCTTCCCGGCGCAGCCCCTCGGCACATCGCGGGGCTGGGATGGGCAACGGGCCCCGCTCCCCGCGGCCAGGCCGGGCCGGTCCCGCTCGGGCCGGGGGGGTCCCGCACAGCCCCGGCGGGGGCGGGTGAGCTCCGTGCCCGGGCGGGGCCGCGGGGCCGCCGGGAGCGGTGACGTGTCCCCGAGGCCCCGCCCCCTGCTAGGGTATATAAGGGGCGCCGCTCACGCTGTCGGTCTTTTTCGCTCCGGGTTTGCCGCCGTCGCCGAGCAGGTGAGGCGCGTCCGCAGGGTTGGGCCGGGCTGGGCCGCGCTCGCCTCAGAGGCCCGGCCAGCGCCCAGCTGGGCTGTGGTGAGGGTCGAGGGGAGGGGGAGGGAGGGAGCGGCAGGAGCTGCCGGCGGGAACCAAGGCGGACGGACGGGCAGGAAGCACGGGGCGGCGGGATGGCGGCGCATCGTCCTCCTCCGTTACCATGTGCACACCCACGATGTCGGGGCTGAGGTGGGGGGAGCGGCGTGTTCGGATGGGCGTGGGGCAGAAGGCGCCCGGCAGCCTTCAATTATCCCCCGCGGGCAGCGGCGCGGGACCGTCGGGGGCCGGCGGCGGATGCCGTCGGGGCGAGGGCGGCCGGGGCACGAGTGAAAAGATGGCCGCTCGCCTTGCCTGCCCGCCGCCAGCGCCACAAAATGGAGGACGCGGCGGCCCGGGCGGGGTGAGTCACACAAAGGAGCGGGGCGGCCCCGCCCTCCGCGCTGCCCGCCGGGCCCGCTCGCCGCCGCCCCGCGCCCCGGCCACCGCCGCCGGGGTAACTCGAGCCCGGGGAGGGGGCGACGCGAGGGGCGCTCCGAGGGGCCCCCGGCCCGCCCGCCTCGCTCCTCCCCTCCCCCGGCGGGGCGGGGCCGCCATCCCGGCCGGGCCGCCCCACATGTGGCGCCGCCATCGCTGCCCCTAGGCCCGGCCCGAGGCGTAACCAGCTTTTTTCTGGGGAACTTACAGGTGTCGATTCTCTTTTGCCGAAAGAAAGAACTCAACTAACAACCAAAATGGGAAAGGAGAAGACCCATATCAACATCGTTGTCATCGGCCACGTCGATTCTGGCAAGTCCACCACCACCGGTCATCTCATCTACAAATGTGGAGGCATCGACAAGAGAACCATCGAGAAGTTCGAGAAGGAAGCAGCTGAGGTGCGTGGGCCCGTAGCAGCCTGCAAAATTCCGGGCTGCGGGAATGAATAGACCCTTAATTGAAAAGCGAGCCTGCAGAGCGTTCAGTGGCCACGGGGAGGCGGCTTGGTTGCCCCAGGAGCTGAACAAGTGGCTCAGTGTTGCGTGGCCACAGGGCGGCAGCTGCGATGCAGTTGTCCCTGAGGTAGAACAAGTGTTCAGTCTGCCATTGTGTTAGTTGCAGAAACTCAGATTGTGAAATGTAAAATAAGTGAAGAGAAGGTAATCTAAAGTTGCATCCTAATAGTAACATCTGGAATCAAGTTAAATTACTGGATTCAAACTACATAGAAAGAAGTTGGTCTGTTGAGGTCTACTTTGAAAAATTGAGTTTTACTGATATTGTTTTTTTCTGTGTAATAACAGCACAGGTCATAAGAACATTATAAAATAAAATTTGGCAAATGTTGAGCAGAGTGGCAGTTAAAGTGTTGATTATTGCAAGGATTGAAGTACTAAGTGGACTTCAAATTGCAGAGGATACTTGATAGTTGGACTCAGGCTCAAGAGCTCTATCATAAAGATGCATTAGTGAAATTAACAAGCTGTCAGGGAGTCTGAGCTGTCAGCAGGTTCAATAAGGTTCAACAGTTGGTATCTCTCACCAGTAGTGCCAAGCATATCTAGTTGCTTGGTTTATGAGCAGCCACATTTTTCAATGTTTAGCCAGTTACTATTATTAGATTGTGTGATCTTTCTGAATTAATTGCAGATATAGAACTCTTTTTTCTTTTAATGAGAATCAAGCACTGTTCTTTTTGTAACCGTAGATGGGCAAAGGTTCCTTCAAGTATGCCTGGGTCTTGGACAAGCTGAAGGCTGAACGTGAGCGTGGTATCACCATTGATATTTCCCTGTGGAAATTTGAAACAAGCAAATACTATGTCACCATCATTGATGCTCCTGGACACAGAGACTTCATTAAAAACATGATTACTGGAACTTCTCAGGTATGTAAAGAAAGTAGGATTTGGGGGTTCAGGAAGGTTGTTCCTTGGTTGCTGTGAGAGGTTCCTGTAGTACTTTGACATACACACAAGGATTATAGTGAGGGTTTGTTTTTTTGTTTTCAAAGGCTGATTGTGCTGTCCTGATCGTTGCTGCTGGTGTTGGTGAGTTTGAGGCTGGTATTTCCAAGAACGGGCAGACCCGTGAGCATGCCCTTCTGGCCTACACCCTGGGTGTCAAACAGCTGATTGTTGGTGTCAACAAGATGGATTCCACTGAGCCACCCTACAGCCAGAAGAGATATGAAGAGATTGTCAAGGAAGTCAGCACTTACATCAAGAAGATTGGCTACAACCCAGACACTGTGGCTTTCGTGCCAATTTCTGGTTGGAATGGTGACAACATGCTGGAGCCTAGCTCTAACGTAGGTTTGGCATTTATTTCTGTTAAGGCATGGAACTGGGGAGACTGTTAAGACCAATTCTGCAATGATAAAATGCACGTGTTTTTTAATAGTTACGTTTGGGAAGTGCAAGGTCCAAGACAAATCTTAGCACTTAAAAAAATTTTTACTCTAACGGTAAATTGAGATAATGCTAAGAGATACCACTTGTGCTTTTTCAGCCTTGCACCATTAAATTTGGCAGTGGGATTAACCTGAGCTTGTTTTCATTTCAGATGCCCTGGTTCAAGGGATGGAAGATCACCCGTAAGGATGGCAGTGCCAGCGGAACCACCCTCCTTGAAGCCCTGGACTGCATCCTGCCTCCAACTCGTCCAACTGACAAACCCCTGCGTCTGCCTCTTCAGGATGTCTACAAAATCGGCGGTATGTGTTCTCTGGAATGCTGCTCGTGTGCCAGCAACAGCTGATCTATGGGCCAGAAATGCAGGCATTTGCCCAAGAGCTGCTTTTCCAAGTCAGAAATTTAAATTCTTGTCTCGAATGGGTTTTTCCCCCGTAAGGGCATATGTTCACTAAGCTGAATAATGAATAATATTGTTGTTGCTTCTTGCAGGCATTGGTACTGTACCAGTTGGTCGTGTGGAAACAGGTGTTCTGAAGCCAGGCATGGTGGTTACATTTGCCCCAGTCAATGTAACAACTGAAGTGAAATCTGTGGAGATGCACCACGAAGCCCTGAGTGAAGCTCTGCCTGGTGACAACGTTGGCTTCAACGTTAAGAACGTGTCTGTGAAGGATGTTCGCCGTGGGAATGTTGCTGGTGACAGCAAGAATGACCCTCCCATGGAAGCTGCTGGCTTCACTGCACAGGTATGTTACGCAGCTCTTCAGGGATGTTGGGAATGTAGCTCTGTATTCCAAAGTAGGAGCCTTGGTAGGCTAAGCTGTAAAGCAACATAGAGAGTTGTATTTTGAGTTCTATTTGATTGAAGAAAATCTCATTAATTCCTTGGCTTTGTAAGAACATTCCAGTGTTCAAATTACTCCCTTTCTAACTTGGCTTTCTTTGTTTCTTAGGTCATTATCCTGAACCACCCTGGCCAAATCAGTGCTGGCTATGCCCCTGTGCTGGATTGCCATACTGCTCACATTGCCTGCAAATTTGCTGAGCTTAAGGAGAAGATTGATCGTCGTTCTGGCAAGAAGCTGGAGGATGGCCCCAAATTCCTGAAATCTGGAGATGCTGCCATCGTTGATATGATCCCTGGCAAACCCATGTGTGTTGAGAGCTTCTCTGATTATCCTCCTCTCGGTAAGGCATCTCTCATTAATATCGGTCTCTGGAAAAGACACTCCTTGATTTCTAGTATTGGGATGCAGTGTGTTCTGTGAAACACTGATGAAAGCTGGGACTTAAAACTGTGAAGTGGAACCAGGATCTTACTGGTACAGGGAGAGAAACTGCAGAGAAGGGTCATGCCTCTGTCCCTCTCTGGTTCCAGAGCAGCACTGGCCCATTTGTACCAGCGTATGTGTTGCCACTGTGCAGCAGATTGGGCTGGGAGTCAGCAGCACAGACAAAAGTCATGAATCGTGTTTTTGCTTTCAGGTCGTTTTGCCGTGCGTGACATGAGGCAGACGGTCGCTGTTGGTGTCATCAAGGCAGTTGACAAGAAGGCTGGAGGAGCTGGCAAGGTCACAAAGTCTGCCCAGAAGGCCCAGAAGGCTAAATGAAAATTCTGTACACCAGCTGCCACCTCAGTCTTAACCAGTGGTGGAAGAACGGTCTCAGAACTGTTTGTCTCAATTGGCCATTTAAGTTTAATAGCGAAAGACTGGTTAATGATTACAATGCATCGTAAAAGCTTCAGAAGGAAAGGAATGTTTGTGGACCATTTGTTTCGTGGCAGTTTAAGTTATTAGTCTTTAAAATCGATAAATTTTTTAAAATGGAAACTTGACCAAAAATCTGTCACAGAATTTTGAGACCATTAAAGCAGAAGTTCAATGCTATGTCTCTGTGTTCTTTGGGTTAATGTTAAGTTTATGGTAAAACCTATATCTAGTCATGGTGGGATAAGAAAGGATAGTTATTAATTAAATACGTTCAGAAGTTGCAAAGCAAATACTCAAAATTACTTGTTTCTGAAAAGTAGAACAAAGTTAATCTACAGGTTTACTTTTAAACTGATCTAAGCCTTAACTTTCCTGGTGCTTTTTTCAAAAACTGGTTTTAGATTAGATTGCACGAATACCAGGTAACAATTAACAGTGTTTTCGTGCATTCTGTGAAGCATTGAGTAAACCAAGAAAAAGTACATGGAGAAGAAAAAAGTGAACACATTTAACCTTAAAAAAACATTACAAAGAAGGAATCCTATGTTGGGTTTCCAACATTTTGTACACTGATTTTTGTAGTCAAAGCAGAACCAGATTTTTTTTCCTGAGAAACATGTTGTGTAGATCTTCAAAAATTAAACACTTTTACATAGATGTTTTCTAATATATAGTAAGATGTTTAATAGCTAAAATGAAGCTTCTGTCTAGAATTACACTTTGGTGCAATCTGAGTGACTCACCATTGTAGCCTGCACCAAATGGCACAGTGGGACAAGGTGTGCCTGCTATCCTTTTAACAACAGGGTGAAAATTGGGATCAGACAGTTAAAAGGGACTTTAGCATCTAGTCCAAACTCAGTAGACAACCCCAAGTTAAATGTTCTGGGTTATAAGAATACCAGCTGTAATTATTAAGAATTCTGGCATAGAAGCCTTGCTTAAAATTGGTAAATGGGGGCAAGCAGTTAATGGATAATCAGAGCTGACTTGCATAATGGTGCAGCTGTTTTACTAACCTTTCACATGATTTCCCCACAGCATCCCCAGGATAGGTCAAAAGGAGTTGGTATCTGTAAGGGAGTCGTTCGATGACACCAGTATGTTTGTTCTGCCTGAAATGGCTGTATTATCTGTGTTCTGTTTTCCTTTCCTTCTCCAGCTGTGTGCTTGCTCTGCAGGAACTCATATCTGTACTGCTTGGATAGGTCTGAACTGCTGGTGCTTGTTTTCATGCTCTCTGTCTGGATCTTCTTTTCTGCTCACCTTCTGTGTCTTAACTGCAGTGGAACCTTGGAGCATTACACACTGATTTCGAAGGTACAATGGAAGCAAGGGACTAGAGAGCATTGCAGGCTCTGTAATTAAATCTCTGCTGCCTAAATTTGCTTCTGGAGGTTTGTTGGTGTCACCAGGGCAACAGGAAGTGCATAACTTCAAAATGGAGGCAGACCTACTGTTGCCATAATAAAGCTTGAAGTGTCTTGCCAAATCTTAGCATGCTTTTCAGTTAAACCGCTAAATATTTTCCAAGAGGCTTTGGTCAGACTGGTTCAGCAGAGTTCTGATCTGGATGAGAAGCAAAGCAGCTTTGGCCCAGGCTGCCTTCAGCGCGGCTCTGCGTTCCTCAGATTTCCTTCACATTCCTTTGTTAGGCGCAGGATGTTTGGTTTGGCCGGCCCGGGGCTGGATACGCAGCCCCAGTCTGGAGTGCCTCTGTGCACATTGCACGGGGCTGTCTGCAGCTGTGTGTGCTTGCTCCATGCTAGTTTGGAAATGGCCTTATAGTGAGCAGCTCATTCAAATCCTTAGGGAAAACAAGGTGTGACCCAGCAGTGCCGTGCTCAGTGCTCTATTGCAAGAGGCCCTTGGGTCAGCTGTGCATAGATCAGATCAGCCACCAGAGCTGCTGGGAGGCTGGGTCACGTTAAAATGGCCCGGCTTGAGAGCAGGACAAGAGTCCGCTGCATAGGTTATGGCAGAGGGACTGGTTAGGAAAAGACCCTAAATAACACTATTGCATCTTACAACTTCATGTGAGCAGCAAAACACTTGGGAATGCTCTGCCTGCAATACTAGCAATTGCTTTCATGTACTTTAAACCTACATTCTACTAATTTGGTTTTCTTTCTTTTTTACTTTTAACTTTTATAAACTAGATTTGCTTTCTATGCACTAATGTTAATGCCATCTCAGTTCTTTTCTTAATCTGACTACCTGGGGAAATTGTTAGACTTTTGTAAACAAAATTTGGGAATAAAACTACTTCGATCTAACTTTTAATAAATGTTCTTAGTTGAGAACTGTATTTGTCTTCTGACTGCTTATTTCTTTAAGCAACTTTTACAGCTGTCCTTAACTCTTTCCTCACTGTCCTGCAATGCTGGTGGTGTTCATACAGAGGTGTGACACCATGCTGCCATGGTGACAGAGCCAGCTCTGAAGGCAGAAAACTGGCTGGAGTCTTGTGTTTGTGAATGTTTCCTTTCTAGTTGTTGGTGAACGTTTTGGTAGTCCAGAGAACTTTAAATACACAGAAATATTCCAGAAATGTGTGTGGCGAGGTAATGGGGGCCAGAGAGGACAAAGGCAGGTTGGTCTTGGTAGGAAAATGGAGCAGTGCAGTCACAGCTGATACCACCAAGTAACTTCTTGCTCAGTATTGGCTGCCTAGGTGGATAGTCCAGGCTGGAATAAAATGGGCTGTGTTCAGACTACTGTCCAGAAACGTTTTAATTATATCTCAGATCAGTTTGTACAAGGCTAATAACTGGAAAAACTTACTTTACTGAAATTGCAAATGAAAGACTCATTCACATTCTGAATTTAGCTGTCTCAGTATATTTTGAAATGTATTGACAAATTTTGGAAAATATTTTCTGTAAATGCATACTTTAAATTTTAGATTCGGTCAAGATAAACCATGTAAAGACTAACTTTACTGTACAGGGATATTCCATTCCTCACTGGTGCTAAATGATTATCTGTTTAAGAACCGTGTAAGTTCAGTCTGATGAACACAACCCACCTGGTTTTAATTTCTATTAGTTCTATGTTTATGTAGTGCCCAGAGGGAGGCTGGGGCTGGAGGATGCAGTGGCAGAGCTGATAAGCTGCTTCACCAGCAGCACCCTGGGGTACCCTGAGCACCTCTGAGTCCTGCTCAAAGCATTTGTTTCACCCAGGGCTCCTTTCCTACAAAAATTCACTCACACTTTTCACTGCAAATTGTAAATTCCTGACAGTATTAACACCTTTGAATTTCTTAGTTTCAATAACTCAAATTTTTCATGTCATCTGATTGCACCAAGCAGTACTTCCTGTCTGGGAATTTAGTTTTCTGAAACTGCAAATCTTAAATAATATCCAAACCATAAGCTAAACAGAGGAATAAACTGTGACCATGGAAGATAATACTGGGCAAAATTACCTTTCTCTTGCAATATTGCTCCTGCTTACCAAAGAGAGGCCAGAAGCCACCTCAGGAGAAATAAAAGGGCACCTGGGGTACAAAAGAGCTGAAGAAAAATCTTGATATCAAAACTGTATTGGCTTCCAAGGTACAGAAGCTGTGGATTTTTAGCCCTTTCTGGGTCCTCTTTAGTCCCTTCAGATTATTTCTGCATTACAAGTCAATTACATTGTTGCCTGCTTTTTTAAAAATCAGGTTACTTTCCCTGGCTACCTATCAGTAATTCTTAAATCCTTTAATATTTCAAATATTTACACAACATAATTCAAATCTGCCAGCTTCTCTGTGCTGGTAAGGTCGCAGCTGAACCCATATTTTCCTTGGAAGATGCTGAGTGAGGTATTGAGGGAAGGTGGAAATCAGAGTGGGATGCTCTGATGAGGGATCTCTGGCCTCTGGGTGAGGAGATGGTGGGGCAGTGATGGGGTGCACACGGGCTGTCAGCCAAGGAGCTACAATCTGTGCAGGTTTTGCCTATTTCTTCCCTTAAAAAAGCAAAACAAGTAGGAAGATAGCTAAGCTTTCATTGGTGAATATCCCCATGGGCCAAGTATGTGATTTTAAGGATGCAGTAGCAATAGCTTTGCCCTGTGTAGGTTTGCTGAGGTACTCGCTAAGTCTTTCTTCTGACTCTTCTTAGCAAAGCAATCCAGAGCCCTGGGCATCCTCCTGCAAGGGCATCTGCTACCTCAGGCTCAGCATAAACTCTAGTCCTTGGATTAATATGCTAATTTTTTTGCATTACATAGTCACTGGAAATGAGCAGAGCCAGCTCACCCCAAACTCAGGGCCCTGCCTGCCCTGCCAGCAGCAGTCACAGACATTTTCCCTTTCAGGCCAGTAAAATCTGGATTATTTAATACAAGGGGAAGACCCACAGTGTTTCCCCAGCCCAGGTGCCTGTTCTGCAGAGATCAGCACAGCTGGCAAAGCTGTTGGCTCCAAACCTGCACAGAGATGGAAAGGCAACACAAATGTCCCCTCCTGGAGGGGCTTGATTGCAGGTAAGGCTGAAATTAAAAGGAAGCTTCAGGTTGCTCTTATCTGCAGCCACCTGAGCACTTCTTAAGCAAAATGCCCATTTTTTTGTTCCATATATGTATATATATGCATACACATACATGCACATGCACACATATATATATATGTTATATATATACACACACCTATATATTTATGTTATATATAACATATGCATACATCTACATAATTTAATAAGGTATCTATTTTTTTTTTATAATTGCCACCACCAGACTCCTTAAAATCTGCAATTCCTATTTTGAAGCTGGATTCTAAGCTAATTCCTCAGTAAAAAAAGTTGAATGCCCCCAAATGAATTAATATTTAGTTATTGATAAGTTATTATTTATACATATTATGATTTTTATATTATTTGTTTTGTATAGTTCTTATAATTAAATATTTCATTAATATTTAATAAATATTTAGTTTATAAGCTAGGGTGTGGTTCTGCTGATAGGACATGAGTATTTTGGATAAGGAGACATAGGATTGTTGGTGTTGACTTGTCTCCATGTTTAACAAGGCCTTTAATAATAGCCTTTTCCAGAGGGAATAAAGGAAGGAACAGATGAATTTAAATGTAATTATAAGTTTTTATGACTGACATTACTAGTAACAGTAACTAATGTCACATAGCCTGCTGCCAAAGATTACAATACCCTAATTCTTTGGAAAAGGAGGGCGTGTATATATGTGGCCTGGGAGTGGGAGAAGAAAAACCACCCTGAACAAGGGCTCTGCTCTACTGCAGTCACTTCCTTGTGAGGGAAATTCCTGCAACTCATTCCTGGGCACGCATTCCCCGGGCTGCTACACACGTGGCACAGCCGAGGAGAGCTGAGGTCACTGCCGGTGACGTGACCACTCTGCTCAGGGCAGCTGCTTCCAGCTCCTGCCTGACACCCACCACCGTCCCCCAGCCAGCTCTGGGCCAGTGCCACCAAGCCACCACTGTCCCCCAGCCAGCTCTGGGGCATTGTCACC